TTCATGGTTCAGAGTATTCCAATTGCACTGATGGGGAAATTAAACTCTTTGGTGGAAAAACTGAATATGAAGGAACAGTTGAAATATGCATCAATAATGCATGGGGAACAGTAGTATATTACCGTACTTATTATTCTCAATCATATATTTTTGCTCAAACTGTTTGCAATGCAATAGGATACACTGCACCAGGTACATAAGTTATATGTACATGTATGTGTATTTTTGTAATAATTTTATGCTGTAGGTGCAGTCTATTATAGCTCAGCACGTTTTGGCAAAGGAAATGGCCCAATACTATTGACTGTTTATTGTAATTCCATAAAAAATTCTCTTCTTGATTGTAATGCAATAGATTACATGGCAACTTTTCATCACCAATATGATGCTGGTGTTAGGTGTCAGCGTAAGAGAATTCATTCTTGTACTTATAATTTATATTGTTCTTTGTAGCATTTTGTAAAACTGGTGATGTGAGGATTGTAGGCACTACTGATCCATTGGTAGGAAGAGTTGAAGTATGTGTTGATGAAACCTGGGGCACTGTTTGTGATGATTATTGGCATAATGATGATGCCAGAGTTGTATGTAGACAACTAGGATTCTCTGGAAACGGTATTATGATTATCAGTATATGTAATTACTAATTTAATTGCAGAAGCTATGGCCTTAACTGGTCTTTATACCGACTATCAAAAATTATTCCATATTATTGATTTAAACTGTAATGGTACTGAAAACAGTGTCTTTAATTGTTCTCATAATACTATTGAAGAATACAGCTGCTTGGACTACGAAGATACTTATGTTCAATGTTCAGGTACATAATTTAGCAGATCGTCTTATTTCATTTTTTTACTAGTATTTAATGCTAGTGATAATTGCAGTAATGGTGATATCAGATTAACTGGTGGTCCATCTCAGTATGAAGGAATTGTTGAAGTGTGTTATGAAAGAGTTTGGGGATCAATATGTCCTCCAGCTTGGAGTAGAGCTGATGCTCAAGTTACATGCAGACAGTTGGGATATACAACTATTGGTTAGTTTTTGTGACTATAACCTCATTATCAAGTTCTGTCTGCGTATATACATGTACATGTAGGAGCAGCTACCTCAAATATTTATGGCAAAAGTGCTGGCCCTATACATTTCTCTAATTTTTATTGTTCTAGCAGTGAAAATTTTCTCTTAAACTGCTCACATGGCACCTCTTCATGTTATAACTATGACAATCATGCTGGAGTCAAATGTGAAGGTACAAATCATGTCACTAATACTCTATACATGTTTAGTAATTGACTATAGCCCCTTGTGTTGATGGTGACATTAGACTGAAAGGAAATGTAAAGTTTCATAACTTTGGTCGAGTTGAAATCTGTGTGAATGGAACATGGGGTACTGTCTGTGATAATGAATGGGATAATACAGATGCCAGAGTTGTATGTGAACAGCTAGGATACTCCCCTTATG